TCGTATCAACTAATTTCATGCAAGTTTTTGAAGTTATGGATTTAGGTCAATAACTATAAAAAAAAATATATATAATGTAAATGGAGTTCACTCGAGACAATTGGAGGAATTTATAAAATTATTAAAACAAGAGAAAAAATTTTTTTTTTTTCTGCAATTTCGTTAGTCAAATGATTTGGCAAAGAAATCGTCTCAGAAAATTTATCGATATCAGGAGGAAGCTAAATAAAAACGTGACGCACAACTCTGATTAACTGCAATACTACAAGGTAAGCGATGCTTCAAGAAAAGAAGAAGCAAAACTTAAAATACTTAAAAGAAGGATGATACTTGCTGCAAGAGAAGCTTCCAAAAATAAAGTTTTTCCGGCGCTACAGCGCTTTAATCGCAATTGAATTATTATTTCAGTCGATGCGTGTATCCGGGCGCTTACGAGCTCCTCTTCCTCCTCCGAGTCATCTATTTCGAGCTCGCACGCGAGTAATTCGCTCTAAAAGTACCGCAGTGTATCCAAAAGAAGAAGAGAAGAAACGTTGCGAGGAGAATGTCGATGTATGAAGAGAAAGCAAAAGAAAGGGGGGGGGGTGGAATGCGAGGGACGATGAGGAGAGCTGAAGTGCGCGGACGAATAAGGTGGCAAAGAAGGTCGCGAGGAAGGAGGAAGTGAAGAATTGGGATGAGAATGATTAGGGGGTGGGTGGGTGGGTGGGGAGGGGAGGAGACGAGGGAGAGAATGAAAAAGGAAAAAGGAAAAAGGAAGAAGGAAGAAGGAAGAAGGAAGGAAGGAAGGAAGGAAGGAAGAGAGAGGCGTGACTCTCGCGGTAGATGTTGAGAGAGACGGATCGTTCTGGCGAATGGATTCGAACGGTCTCGATTAATCGAAGCCATAACTATTGCGTCACTTGAATCTTGATAAAGCCGACAGAGGCAGTGGATAAGTACCTTTCTTTTAATTTATTCTTTTCTTTGTTTTTACATCTAGTTCTTAAGACATTGAAGATTTATTAAGAATGGATCTCAGATTGAAAACTCTTTTAAAAAATTACATGAAGGTTTTGTAATGAGATCTTGGAATTTTTTTAATCGATATTGGTCAGCGTAAATTATGTTTCTGTGTCTTAAAAGTGGAAAATTAATTTTTGCCATTTAAATTCGTTAATTGAATAATCCAAGGCACTATCATCCACTCTATCAGGATTTAAGGCTGAGCAATGTTTAATCAGCAAAATTCTTAAATTGTCTTCCTATAATTTTATATTTCAAGTATTTACACAAGTAAATACTGAAGTTAATAGAGAATTTTTCACCCTACAGTCGCGTGGTACAATTGTATGGTTTAAAGGAAAAAATTACAACACTATTAATTGTACTCATTAAGGCTTACTTCTAGGAAATTTCGTATGTCCGCGCAAACACCAAGGTCAAACTATTAAAAATATTGTTTATACAGCACATTAAGCAATTGCGCAAATTATTAAAAATGTAGGAAAATATATTAGTAAAAATTATGTAGTAAAAATATAGTAAACGTGTAATGAAATAATTTTTTTTTTTTCTTCTTTTTTATTCTTCTTTCGCTGTCATCCCGATAATTTATTAGTGAATTACGTATGTGCATATGCATGCGCACCCATTCCATTAAACAACATTTAAAGGAGAACAAGCTATCGGCGATCCGCCATTTACTGGCGGATGTGCATACAAACGTGCGCTACCAGTGAAACGTTCGGGCATCAAAGAAGTCCTTCACTCCAGCTAGAGATTAATTGAGGGAGCACCACTCCATTTAATATTAATACGAGAGGTTTGTAAATATCGGTCGTTCCTTTGAGATCATTTGATTCTTCCTTTTTTCATGCCTAGTCATTCGTATTATTTAAAAATTGTTTATATTATGCTACACCTTGAACTAGTGTTTTTAATCACAACTATATGATGGTTGATAAATAGCTTAAGCGGAATAGTAATGGAAAAAAACATTCTTCTTTATATTGATCAGTATTGATTAATTAAACAAAATAAATAAATAAATAAAATGAATTATATGTTTCGACGCGGGTAAAGTATTTTTTGCCTCAGAAATTAAGAAATGCGTCTTGAATGTATATACATAATGTATTTTAATCTAGTGAACAAATATAAATCACAGATCACAGAAATACAGATTATTATCACAAGACGGAGTATTATGATGAGACTATCGGTAATTCCTCATGTAGAAATCATTCTACTTTCTCTTTTAATACAGCGTAATTAAGTTTTTCAAGTACGACGCCTAGCAAATCCATACCTGTGCTTAAGATTATAAACGTACGTTTATGTATACGCATACCTATGCATCAGCATAACTGCCTATTATTACATACGACTATGCGTAAGTGCACACGTATGTTTTGCGTGTGTCTGTGTTTGTGAGGGCGCGCGCTTATGCGTATGTACAGGTGTATATTGTACCTCGGGCGTTTTCTTTGATACGTACGTCATGTGCAGGGGCAATCATACGTATGCGCCTAGGCTCGCGCGCGCGCGCGCGCGTGTATTATAAGTATGACTATATTCATGAGCGCATATATATATATATATATATATATATATATATATATATATATATATATATATTTATATATAGCATCGCACATTTTATTTTTTTGTTGAGCTACGACTATGTGAAATTGCCAACTTACATCTCTATGTACATACTTTTCTTTCTATACGGATCTCTCTATACGTATACGCGCATTTCTGTATTTATTTATATTCGTCCGCTTTCACTGGCCTCCAATTAGTCTTGATACATTTAAATATATTCTATTTTTGGAAGTGTCAAAAGATTTAATAAGATACTCGGCTTTAAAGACATTAATTGATGTTAAGTATGAGGATCGCTAAGAAGATGATTTTGAAGAAAATGAAAAGATCTTGAACGAAAATAACAAAGTTTTCGCGAGGTTCTCTTTAAAAATTAACGAAAATTTTGAAAGTTAAGAGGCCCGTGATCTCATCAAAAAAATTCACATCCTCAATCATCCGAGTGCGCAAAATGTATATTAACGAACAAGAAGCCGACGCACAGCCTGATCATTAACTCTATGATGTGAACATTTATAAAAAACATCATATTATGTTGAAATAATATTTAAGCATTGAATGAATTTTTAATCGATTGGATCATTTCCTAGGCTATTTAGGAGAACGAAAATATACGGCTAAACCTGGGAGCCTATAATTATGCGTAGTCACATAATGCGAAAATGATACATAAGATTGATAGATAATACCTCGGTGAAAACGAACAACGACAATTAAGATTTTTAAATGTACAAATGCAGCAAATATTCTTTATAATAGTTAGAAAATTAGTATTGACTAGTGTGGGAATATTTTTAATATCTTTCGAATTATTATCGCTATTATTTTCGATCGAATTTATAAAAGGTAAATGTACATTGATCGCTCCCCTACATGTCAACATTCTCGATTCTTTAGTACACGCTGAATTCCATATAAACGAACTAATTGAAAAGATCAATTCACAATAAATCAATTAATTGGCACAACAAACAATTGCCTGAGATGCATTTAAGCAGAGACAAAGGCACTGACTAAATATCCACCAAAGCCATATATTTATTCAGCAGTTAGTGGTCAGGCGTCAAAGAAATAGCCGAGATAAACACAGACGTGACGTTGGTATGAGTTTCACCTCATACATATTTTCCCACATGTACACAACGCGTAGTAGACCCTTGTAGCAGTCGAATTCACTCGACCGGACTCTCGAACCTCCACTAGTCGGCTACTCACTCCATCCCCTATCTTTAATCACACGGCAGCGTCGATGTTTTATTCAAAACAAATAACTCAGATTCGGCTTGTCGCCGCCATTATACGATAAAACGTAATGCTCTTCCGCGGCCTTTTTCTACTCCTGAAAAGCAATATGTTGAGCTTTTTCAAATTTATAAAAGCAATTTTTTATATTTTTCAGGCTGATGCACATCGTAATAGGACTTTCTCAAGATCAGATTAAACTTTTTATCTTCAAAAGTCAGGGATAAATAATGTAAAATAAATTTCTACGTATAATAAAGAAGAGAAATGAAAGAAAAAAAAAAAACAAAAAATAAAAAATAAAAAAATAAAAAAAAAATAAATAAATAAATAAACTTTTTGCTACACTGTATCTTTGTACTGTTGCTACATTATTATACGTATGTATATTGTAATGTATATATATATATATAATGTATATAATATATAATATATATAATATATATATATATATAATGTACATATATATATTATACGTATGTAATACAAGTTTCAGTAAGCACTCTTTTTTAGAAAAACGTTTTTCTTTTTTCTTTTTTTTCACTCTTCTTTTGGAATGAAATCGCGCGGAATATGGATATTGCTTTTTACATATTTTATTATGCAAAATGCGCCTGCTGTGTGACGCATGTAAACGTTTGCTCTTCAAAATTGCTGAACGAGAAGTTCCTTTTCTATATTCGTCATGATGTTTTCCTCTATTTTATTCATATTTTTTTCTTCTGCCCACTGCCTGGCATCGAGAAAGCAATAATCAATGAAAAATTTGCGTCGAATAAAAACTAACCCCTTAACACGTAACTTAATCATCAACATCCCATTATAAACATGGTATTTAATTTTCAATTATTGATTTGACAAGATTGCAATTTTTTAAATTCATTTAATCTAATATACCTAACAGATACCCATTATAAATAAAATCCCTAATATCATTTAACCATAAAAACATAAAGTCACCTTTCCATTTACCAGGAGTATCTCGGACTTTACGTCACCAGGCCTAATCATTGTAGCTCGACAAAAGTATATCATGGGCGCGTAAAATTTTCAATTCTATCCAACGACTCGCGCCCAATATCCGCCTTTTAAAATAAATATCCAAAAAAATAATGCACAGTACCAGTAAATAAGTAAACAAAGTATTAGGGATTACGGGAGATGCTTACATCTTGGCCTTTGATGTCTCTGTATCGAATCCATTTGCCGAGTCGCGGCCGCCAGTACTCGAGCATATAGGCCTCGGCGTACTCAACGCCCACCCCATTGCCAAAGCGTCCTTGAGTACCAGTCGCAGTGATCAAGTAGACCATGTGAAGATCGATTTCCAGCCACTCGCGTGGATCCGCAGTCACTTGTTCTTTCGGACACCAGGCGCCGCCCTGATTCTCCGACCTGAGCCTGCAAATTTAAGCAGTTCAAGGCAATTTTAATATTTTCACGTCACATCTAAGTCTATCGTTTGTTTTATTTTCTTTTTTTTTTTTTAAACTCTAGTCCACCGATAGCAGTTCGCTTTATCAGTTACTGTCACAGCAGCCGTTTTGTCAGAAATCAAGTAGGATATAATATGGCAAATTGCATCGAATGTAAATTGCATTATCGTAATTTGGTATTCGAGGCAATTTACATTATTAAAACGTTGGTTATTTCGATTCGATATTTTCAAGAATCGCAAATAACGATAATCGTCATGTTAATACTCGGACGCATCAAATGTGCTTTTTTTATTAACGATAACAATGATTTAATTCGTGATAACTTTATTGTCAATTATTACATGCTTTTTGATATCTATATAAATACTTCGATATCGAAAAATCTAATCGCGTTATTATTTTACTCGACATTCGCGTATAACTTTCATATAATTACGATAGCTTCTATTATTTTACAAAATATGTATCTTTTCTGGATTATTTGCGAATAGTAATATTGTAAAACTAGAATATACGAGATTAACGATTATAATGTCTAATTCATGTGAAACTATGAGTGTACCATTATTCATTAGGTAATTTTTCCTCGTACAAAGAAGGGGAGAAATAGGTGATGGGGACGGTTGAGGGTGGAGGGGGGGGGGGGCGAGAGAGAAATCAATGAACCTGAGAACCAACTATCATTCCGTAGACGAGTAAGATGGATCTTAAGAAAAGGAGCAATGAGGCATCAATATCGAACAAAAACAAAGAAACAAAGATAGAAAGGCAGGTCGAGCGTGAGCCGATGGGCGAGACGTGCTTTAGTTTTAATCTCAAGGGAGTAAGAGCAGCGGCGAGCACAGAAAGTGAGTGGGATAAAAGGGGGGAGTGATGGGGATACGAGGGGGTGGCGTTGGAGAGATAGGAGAGGGGATGGGGGCAT